AAAATTAATTTTTTATTATAATATTGTATAAATGTTGAAGCGTTTTAAAAAACACGACGTGCCAGATATTCTGTCCAATAATATGTCAAAAAATACGGCAAATTGATTCGTTTAATAAACTCATTAATGAAAAAGATCAGATATAGTTATTGGAAATGTTTATAAAATACTCGTCTACATATATATTGATTGAAGGTAGAATAAAAGTTCTTATTTCTGAATAAAGAGAGAGTTTTTAATTTAAAAGTATAAAATATCCAGCGAGACTTTTTCGTCATTTTGTACATGTTCAGAATTTTCGTTTGAATTTCTTTTCGTGTAGTTTTTTGCTTTGGTTAATGATTCCTTTTTATGTATACACTTTGATAAATAATTTTTAATATTACGTCTTTTAGTCCATAAATACAATAATACTGTTATTAAAGTAATAACTGCAAAAGTAGCAAATAATCCACCAAGTGCTTCGACTGTAATAGCTGTTGATACCGTTGTGTCATGGGGGCATTTTTCTTCTAGAAACCATTTTTGTCTCAAATTATCAAGTTGACCTGATTCTCTTATTGATAATATACCAACATCTAAGTCTTGTGCATATATCCACTGTTTAGGAGTAACAATAGCAAAATCACTTGTAGCAAAACGTTCGCCAACGATAGTTAAATTACAATAAATATTATTGACGGCATATTCAGCACCTCCTGTATCTGAAAGGGCAACATCAATAATGCCGGCAAGTAGACTATCGTATAATTGTTGTCGAGTTTTTAAAGGATAATAATTTTGATTTCCTTTAGATATTTCTATTTTAAAATAATCTTCACTAGCTGTACCGACGCGAATACCGATACGATTCATTGGTACTTTGCCATTTTTAATATCATCCAGTCCTGATACGACAAATTGTGTTTTCGCTATAGTCAGATCTGATGCCAAATTAGCAGTATATGATGCTACTAATATTAAACCTAATACATATAAACCAGCAGTTAAAAAGCGTCCACCAGCTGTACTTGTGTTAAACTCTACACCGTATCCAACTATGTTACCAAAAGAATACCATATGCTCATTGTTAATTGAGATATAAATGATCGATTTCGTAAGTCTTCATTATCTGCTCTTTCTATTAAACACAATAAAATACCAGCATAAATACAAGTACCTAGAGCTAATACCCATAATTTACTTGAAAATGGTTTTAAGAATCCAAGTAGATCAAGTGTAGCATCGGGTGTTTTCATCACCATAAGACATAAAGAATTATCAAATATAGCATGAGAAAAACTAACTGTTTCTCTTCTTGCAGCAGTAACAGTAACATCACCAACGATAATATCAAAAAAACCATTATTTACTAATTGAATATTTTGCGTATATGTTTGATTTGATGGTACTAATATAAGACTTGCATTAAAACCAATTTTATCTGTCAAAAGCTGAATAAGATCTGGTATATAACCAATATATTGTGTTGTAGTGTTTCCATTACCATCTGTTACGTTCTGAGCCAATGTAAATGGAACTGCTAGCATTATTCCAATTCGTAAACTTACACCTCGAAGAATTGCTCGATCAGCAGGTTGTGTTAGGGAATTTCCTGGCCATATAATAACATTTTCTGTTATAGGTGCTCTCCAGTTACCAGGATCAAAATATTCTAATACAGATACAAAATTCAAACCATCTACAAATAGTTGAACATTTTTTAAAGAATAATATGAACCACTTATTCGATCTGTTACATTCTCACTAAATTCTACAGAACCAGATACACCAAGAAAATTTGTTCTAGCAAGTACTGATAACAATGAATCATATTGATTGAAACGAGAATTAAAACAGAACGAAGATGAATGAAATGATAAACATGAAGAAGAATTATTTATTTTTGATGAACATAATTTTTCTAACGATTTAATTAATGCCCATGTTGCATCAAATGCAAATAATGCATAATAATCAACATTTGACGATCCAGGATATGTTTCATTTTCATATTTTTGCCATATATTATATGCTGCATGTAATAATTCAATATTATATGGTGCATTAACAACTGATCCAACAACTGGTTCAATTAAAAGCATTCCAATTAAATTTTTATGATATTTTTTATCAAAAGAATCAAATGAAATCCTTGAATTAATTATCCATGTAAAAGAAGGACCAACAAGATTAGAATCGAGGGCATCTTTCAATATTAACGATGTATAAATTGATTCAGCCCATAAAATAACAATTCGTGATGGGCTATTCATTAGATAAGTCATCATATCACCACGAATACTTTTTTTAGCAATATCATAAACAATCATTTGTGCTACTCTTATACCACTTACATTAAATAGGTCATTAATAGCTTTCGCTCCACCAGTTCCAAATGCATCATTTTGATAAATAATTAGACATGATTTCCAATTGAATCGATTGAATAATTTCAGAAGAGCTGATGCAGCTGTATTATCTGATGGAACTGTTCGATAAAAATTAGGATAAGTTGTTACATCAGATAAATCAGGATCGGTTGCTGCATACGATATAACAGGTAAACCAAGCTTTTTACCAAATGAACTAACTAAAACAGTTTCTCTTGATAATTCTGGACCGACAATACCAACTATATTTGATTGAGATACTGAAAGACATGTATCACTCAATACGTCGATGACATCACCATTAGTTAGTCTTTCTTTCCACCCAATCAATTTTCCATCGATAGTTATATTATATTGATTAGAAAGTAGTACTGCCGATATAAACATAGCTCGAGCATGAATAGATAAGTGGCTATGGTCAGATACGTTTGGTGTATAATAAAACAAGCCGAGTAAATGAATATCAGATGAATTCGATGATGGCCAAATCGATATAATATTATCTATGTTTGATTGTACAAGTATAATATATATTAATAAACATCGAAAGCTCAAGAAAAATAACATTAATTATTGATTGTGCTACAGATAAAAACAATGATTCATCTATAAGAATAAAAATACAATATAATAGAATTAAAATACAATATAATAGAATTAAAATAGAATAAGAACAGTTTTTATTTCTATTTTAATATATTTTGATAGAGAACAACACGATTGAAAAGAATATTTTTATTTGGATAACAATAGATAGTATTTGATTATAAATTTACAGAAAAATTAAAAATAACCTTTAATAAATTTTATTTTATTTTTTTCGTATACAATAAATATATTGAATTCTCTTTCTAAAAAAAATCTAGTTTGTTCGGTTACTTATATCTGTGTATACATTAGGTCATTAAACTATTGATTAGTCATAACTGAAATTTCGAATGACCAAGAAACTTATGAATATAATCAGAATTAAAAGAAAATTTCTCACTGTCAAACAAAACATTCTCGATAAACTTAATATGTATATTTGAATATCATCATTTTTGTCGCCACTTTTGTAATTTTACAGTCTTTTCCTCTCTTAATAAGAAACATTTGAAAAGAAGCCTTTGAACATGATAACAATGTCCAAAAACTCATTTTATAACAAACGATCGTTTTCATTAAAAATATTCGTTTCAGCACACACTCAAAACTAGACCTATACATTGATGAAAACTTGTTGACTGATTAACTTTCAAAACCGTGTATCAATTTTAACTGATAAAATGTCAATATCTTTTGTTCAAAACTTTTATCAAATATTCATAAATACTTTCGAAAACGTACATAAAGATATTTATGACTTTGTGATACTGCTTGTCAATTCCAATAAAGAAAACGTTCAAGACGATCAATGACACAATAAAAGAGGCAAAAGAACCTTGAGAAAAATCTGTATCTGACGAATTAGATTATGTTTCATGAACAAAAGATTGCAAAACTACTCCTTAAATTAGAAAAACAAAAGCAACCTATATTATTTCCTTTCGATTATAAGGCATCCGGAACTACTCAAGGAATCCATAAGTTTTGATCCTGACGTCATATTTTTGTATAGACCACTTAGAAAATTTTTCTTTTTTTACGAGCAGATAGAGCGACTTTTGCTCTATTTTTCTATGTTATTCGATTACTATTCAATTGATAATATAATAATAAAATTTCAATAAGTACTTATTTTTGTGAAGCTTCATTTGGTACAAATGATGCATATTATCATTCATACATATTTTCTTTTCCTGTTTTCTTTATTCTCCATTTCTTCTTTCTAAAAAACATACGCTCTATTTCTCTCTCTCTCTCTCTTCTTCCCGTATGTTCGGGTCATTCAAGTGCATTTTTTCTTTTCTGTCCTGTACTGGTGTTTCTCTTCATGAACTTCTTTCATCTCTTTCTTTAAATCTGACTTACAGTCTTCTGGAATGTTCTTCACTGTCTGAGCTCCGGTGGATGCACATACCACTTGAGACGAGTAGTTCAGTCTTGCACAGCTTTAAGTCTGTAATCACTTTGAGTTAATAAACTACTCGTAACAGATCGCCTAGGAAGGATTAATCTTTAGCAGTATTCATTTGTTGTAGATGATTAAAGAAAACTTCGTTTTTATACTAAAATACGCACAGTAATTAATATCCTAACAGGAGTGATTCTTGATGAGCTATATTCTGTCTGTGATGATCAATCTCCTTCTTTTGGAACAATTAAAAGATGGACTAAATGGTTTCATGAAGGCTGAAAAGAAGTTGAAGGTGAAGCACGATCTGGCAGACTTGTTACCGTACTAACACCTGAAAATGTTGAACATGTCCGCGTTCTTGTCAATGATGATCCTTACATTACAATTGAAGAGATGCAAGACCAGATTGGTTTAAATTATGGCACCATTCAACAAATTATCACTGAAAACTTAAACTTGAAAAAACTTACCACTTGTTATATACCCAAGAATCTGATCAATTTTCAACGGGCTGAAAGTATTCGTATATGCAAACAAAATTCAGCAAAGTTTCAAGAAGGAGCATGGCGTTTACATGATATAATAACTGGGTCCGAGTCGTGGTTTTATCATAGGCAAATCAATCGAAAGTCATCGAATGCAGCATCAGTAAAAAGAGAAGATCCTTCACCTACTATGGTTCGACCTAATAAGTTTGCTTCAAAAACCTTATTTTCCATCTTTTTTAGGTCAAATGGTGGTGTTTTCATTCATTGTGTGAAACGAGGCCTAGCTATAGATCACCAATATTACATTAAAAAATTGTTTATGACCTTTCGTTGATAAAATCAAACGTCAAAGACCCTCATATGGCATTGGTGGTATGAAAATTCACCACGATAATGGAAGACCATATATTCATAAAGATGCGTTTAATCATTTTGTCTGGGAAGGCCTCACGATAATACGACATCCATCTGATACTCCAGATTTATTCACCATGTGACTTTTGGTTATTCGACTTAATTAAAGAAAATCTAACTGATCGAAGTGTTTCAGAATGATTATACGATGCTGTAAGTGAGTTCATGGATTCTACAAATACAGAAGAATATAGAAAAACCTTCGAAAAATGGATTGGAAGACTGCAATTATGTATAGATAACCAAAGTGATTATTGTGAACGTTTGATAAAATAAACAATTGTTGAACTTGTTTCTGTACTTCGTTTTCGATTCATCACCATTATTTTTTTGTGCATTATAAAATATATGGACGGCTAGTTACTAGAAGAGATAAGAAAAGGGAAATTAAAGAAAGAAGAAAAGAAAATCAAGAAAAAAACGAAAAGAAAATATGCACTGTTGGTATCAAGTGGAGTTGCAAAAACAAGTTCTTATCGAAATTTTATTATAATATCAATTCAATAGTGATCAAATAGCATTAAAAGGATAGAGCAAAAGACTCTCTCACTGTTCATAAAAAAGAATATTTTTCCAAGCAGTCTACACGAAAATATGATCTTAGGCTCATTACTTTTGGATTGCTCTAAGTATTTCAAGAAAAAATATTTACGATAACTAAATTGAAATTAACATTCCTATTTATAATGATTTTCGATTTTCTTTTCCTGATTTCATGAAAAACGAACTCATTGTCGTCATCATAATCTCAAAGCAACTTGCATATAAACTTCAAAGAGATTAAAACTTTTTCCTATGATTTTCAAGAGCTGTTCAATTTATTTGCTAAAAGAACCAGCTTAAGATCAGGATAAAGATGCTAATAGATTAGTCAACTCTGAAAAACTTGTTGTGTAACCGAACAAGTTCAATACAATACCATCTTGAAAAATCTTTCTATTTTATTTTTGTTGAGATTTGGCGTAGAGTAAATATTAAACGCGATTGCGATCTTTGGATTGGTAGTTCTTCAAAGGATCTTGATCTGAATTTGACGAATAGCATAATGGATTAATTTGAGTCGTTCTTGCTAGGTTCCTGATAGACTCTTGAAAAAAAAAACTTTGAATAGATTCTAAACATAAACCTGGAAAGATCTCAAGGACCTCCTTGCATTTTCTCATCAAGACCCTAGTCATACCTTGATTGAGGATTCTGACTAATCTTACTTTATTCTTAACATGGTCTTTTTTTGATATCTGTAAAACTCTTGAGAGGATCCTCATGTCAGGTGTCGGTACAGATCTTCGCCTTGACCTAATGAAGTTTTGACGAAATTCTGTTAATAATTTTTGTCAGGTTCCTGAATAGAAATTAGGAGTGAGTCTTAGTGGGATCGTACAAACTCAGTAGAAAAACTGTTCGGGTAAGAATCTAAACGAATACTGGCTCGGGTACTGAGTCAAACCTGACAGAATCTTTGATATTTATAATATTTAAAGACCCTTCGAGTCTGTCTCAGAAAGTGTACATGCCTGATTCAACCGAGCAGTAATTTGTTACAATCTTTGCTAAATTCTCTCCTTTTCTTATCAACATCCTGATTGGGATTAAAACTATATTCAAAGATGTGCAACTACATATTCTCGAAAAGTTTTGAGAAAGTTCCTGATTGAAACTTTGTAGGACCAGTCAGTATCGTACTCTGACTGATCTTGTTATTTTTTTGTTAAGATCTTCGCTTGATATGTCTACCACTTCTAGCAGTAGTCTGACACTAGTGATAGGATCTTGAGTAAGGCTTCATAGATTTCTGTATTTTCAACTCAGAAAAGTGTATGAGCAGGAACTTGAAAAGAACTTGAACAGGATCTTGTTTCGTCTTGAGAACTCCTTGAAGCAGAAATTATTAGGATTTGAAACAGGATCCTAAATAAAACTTAGAAAGATTCTTGAGACTTAAGGTCCTTGAGGCAATTTCCAAGGTTATCTTAGAAATCAAAAGGATTGAGGCTACTATTAAGCAAAATCGACTGATACAAACGTTAAATGACAGTCAATCTTCTAGAAATCTTTAGCAGTCCAGATTGTATAAACCGATGATCTTTTCTTCCAGATATTGCTCTTTTATCAGTTCCACCAATTTTGTGTTTATCACTCTATCCTCTAATGGATATTGAGTAAATTCAAAGGCGAAAATGGCTACAATGCTTTTTTTCTTGCACAGTTCCTTGTGACACTCTTCTTTATTAACTGCTTTGTTCTGTTTTCATAAAAGAATTCCGAAAACATCTAATCTTTTTTGATTCAAATTCTAGTCACTAAGATTCTAGTTCGAATACCATTAGAGTGCAATTTACATGAAAACTTGAGAGGATCAGACGTTTGAGATCAAGTTGTGCGTATCGTCATGCATTTCTCATCGATACAGTATCTATGAAATGGTGCTGGATACTTTGAGAGATGACAAGTACTCCTGGACAATTCAAGCTCTAAGTCGTATAAAAGAACCCTAAGATTGCTGGAGAAAAAGATAGTGTTATTAGTTGATGAGGAAAGGCCATCAACAGTTCAAGAACTTTTCAACCAACTTTTTAGTAACAAAGAGCACACGTGAGGTCTGTAGAACGCCTGAGAGAATGTGAGCTCATGAGTTTTCGTTCTCTAGAGATCGACTAATCTTCAGA